CGTTTTCGCATTGAATTCATGAAAATCTCCCACTTTTATTGTCTCAACATAGGTGAGATATTTTCATCTGTATCAGTAGCTATAAATTACATCCAAGGGCAAAATTTATTGAGACTTCAGTGGTTTTATGTAACTTTTCACATATGTAAAATTTTTAAGTAAGCAGTTTAATTACACTATGAATCTACCCAGATATCACTTTTTCTTTGGAATTCAAATGAACTTTAATGTAAGACCTCATTATGTTAATCTCTCTCCTCTTAGGAGCTCTTTTTAAAAAAATTTTTTTTTAAACAAACAGGATACAAAGTGCTCCAAGAATGGGAGAAGGATGCAAATCCATTCCATTGTAGCATTTCAGAGAAGTTAGGTGTCTACTTGTGTGTCCGTAACTTCCTTCAACATTGAAGTTTCATCTTCAGTTGACCAGAAAGGAATCCAATTTTCAGTAAAATTGACTTTTTAATTAGATTTTGGCATTTTAATTAATGATGTGCTGTATAATTTCAAGTGGTAAGAGACCATCTAGTGCTCAAAAAAAGATAGCTCCTCTTTTGTCTGTTAGAAAAAATTAACCTAAGTAGAACATAAGCATCTGCAAGCAAATGTTTGGAAGGGTCTAGATGGAGACAAGCAAAAATGCGTGAGTCCTTATAATAGCTCCTGCAGAAATTGACTACTTATTCCATTAACAAGGGAACAGCCATGATCCAGGAGAGCTCTGTCTGGTGCTGCAAGGACCAGCTGCCTGGAAGCAGTGGTTGCTATTCTTGTGGGCCCCCAGATATTGATATGGGTCCTCAGATGTTGATGGGGGTCCTCAGATATTATTAAAGCATTCTGCTGATTTAATTTTATTATTTTTTGAGATTTTTATAACCAAAACGTCGGATTATTTAAATTAGTAGCTTTTTTGCCTTTGAGGCCTCTTGCATCACTTAGATAATCTACAGAAAGCAGGGCTCTAGGAAAATGCATATATATATATATATATATATATATAATCCTATCTGGCACACTATTTCAGGATTCAAGGATTGTTAAACCTGTTCAAAGACACATTAAAGTATTTGGTAGATCTAAGTGGCAACCAGTGTATTTACATCAAGCAAAGTGATACCATCTTCTTTAGACAAAACCTTTTTTTTTTTTTTTTAATGCAGAACCAGGGATTGAGCTCAGGTCCTTCTGCTTGCCAGGGAAGCGCTTATTCCACTGAGCCATCTCCCCAACCCCAATAAAACCTTTTCAAAGACATTGATCTCTATTATACCAAAAATCTTGTGTATCAATGCATGGAATTTTGATAAATTCTTTGATTGTTATACTCCCAGATTTTATGGAGTATTACGCACTGTATTTAACACACTCTCTTGTACCTTATGTTTAGTTAATCTTCATGTTGAGGATTTTAAAAAAAATTGTCTACTCTCTAACCAGTGCAAATGGATAAAAGATCTTAATGCTGATTTTTATAAAATCAGATTAGTATCTTATCTGCTGAAGAGCTATTAAACAGTTCTGGAGTGGGGTGCAGACACTGGTCATCTTTCATTGCTAAACAGGCAAATATCAAGGAACTACTCTGAATAAAAACACTTTCAGAGCACACTTAAAGAAAAAAAAAATCTTTTCAGAGCATAGGGGTTAAGTCCATGGCAGCCTCAAAATTGCTCATGTTCACTGCTTAATCCTGGATGTTCCTGAAGCAAGCCCAAAGGAAGACTTGAATGGATTAAGAAACACTATGTCTGAAATTAGCATAGGTAAATGAGCTAAATAAGCACCAGAAGCGAAGTCTGGCACATGCGTAAAACTCACAAGACATACAGCACCTGCACATAAAAAGATACAGAATTCTACTTGTCATCCAGCAAAGGCAGCACGTCAATCTGTATTTTTAAAATTAGACTGAATAATATCCAATTTCTTTAATTTCAGTGTCCTAGTGATAACATAACACATTCACGTGTTTTGAAAGCGATAAATCAAATGCTTGTGTATAATTGCAGTTAATTTTTACCTACAGAAATTAGAGTTTGTCTTTATGGTGTTTCTAATATTCAGGATCAAAATTCAGAAAGTGTCCTTTGTGTTTACATCCCTTTAGTCTTTGAAAAGACAATCCAGTTTCTGTTTAATATCTTTATTTAATAGGCTTCACAGGTGCCACTAAATGTTTCTAAATCAATTTCAGAGATGTTGGTCGCCTTACACATTTCATAAAAAATGCATTAAGAACTTTAAATTCTCTTACAGGGAGACATGTCATGTGTCAAAACAAAATCCTCCAAACATTAAACAGAATTCTCATAAACACAGGCACATGGGAAGATTTCATTTGACCTGGTTAACACAGCCAGTTCAAAAGAGAAGAACATCTACTTCTGTGCCCATTACTATTTCAGTTACACATCCATAAATATAAATGTTGGCATCAGTCCTGAGTGAGGCAAGTTTCTCCTCTATCAATTCTTTTGTGCACAGAAAACATTTATATTGAATACTTGTCAGGGGCTGGGAATTTGGCTCAGCGGTAGAACTCTTGCAGAGCAAGCTAGAAGCTCTGGGTTTGGTGCTCAGCACCAAAACCCCAAAAAACAAAACAAAAACAAAAACAAAAAACCTCTGCTAAAAACTATTCAATTAGAATACAGTGAAATAATAAAAAAAGACCAAAAACAATCAAGGCAACTTACCATTTGTCATACCCTACAATTTTTTAAAATAATTTTATTGAGAAACAAATAGCAATGAGACAGTTTCAAAACCGGTTAGTAGGACAGTTTCAATAATCATTACATTGCATATTGTTATCTTAGTGGTTATTCACTGTGCAAGATGCAGACTTGATATCCTGTCCACAAACACTATTAGAACAAATCTTTCTATTCATTGAATTAAGAGAAACTAGCTGTATATCTATCCTAGCTGTTTTGAATATACAGATGCAAAATGGTTCTTCATTTGCACCCCTTTTTTGTTTAGTTTGATAAAAGAAGGGTAGTCCATTGTCATTTAAATATTGTAGGTGCGTGAATTCAGCAAAATATTCCAATATCGTCCAGTTGTCCATAATAGTCATGGGTTTTCCGTAGGACTGGCGATGTCAGAAGTTGTTGACTGGAGCCTTTTACAACTCAGCATATTAATATGGCTTTACTTCTTATACTTAAGTTTTATACTTTTCTGCTGAATGGTTAAGACCAATGTACATACCTACAATTTTTAATGATGAGATGAATCCCTTTTGCCCTTAGAATTTTAGCCATCAGATTCATTCAAAGGGTTTGGTAAGCCAGATCCCTGGGCTGCATCCCAGGGTTTCTGCAGACCTGAGGTTGGGGCCGGGAAGCTGATGCCACTGTGCACACTTGCAGAAGCACTGAGATGAGCGCAGCCTGAGGACCAGCTGAGCAGCAATGAGCGAGCCCCAGGGAAGTGAGTGGATCTCTGCCTGGGTGCCCAGATACTACTCTGCTGTTCCTTTCTGTTCTCCGAGTCATCCACACCTATGCTTCCACTGGTGCGTCTGCATCACGGCCAGCATAGCCACTCTCTGGCATTTCCCTGTATCTCAATATCTCAAGTCCTGGGTAAGGCTCAGGCTCCCACTGCCCTCCCCCAGACACCTAGCCTCCCTCCCGTAGCCTGTTTCTGTCAGCTATTTCAAACTTCACTACCAGCCAGCACAAGGGTCCTCCGAATCACATGTCACCAACTCTAGCGCACTCTCCCTCCCACCAGTTCTCCTTGGTGAGCTCACCTCATAGAAGGCTTCAATGTTTGAAAGTTTGGAACCATGCAGATGTACTTCTTAAACTGTCAACCTGCCAGTTCCTTGTCTGTTCTGCCTAGCTAGCCTTCATTTTTTGAAAGGAGTAAAAACCTCAAAGATGCCAAGGAAATGTGAGGCCTGAGAATAATATTAACAAAGGAGGGAAAAGCTAGTCCTGGTAAAAGTTAGTCTTCTAGAAGTTGTGTTTGCAAAGTGGGTACCTAGAAGTTTGAGGAAGCCACTGAAAACATGCTTTAAGAGTTTGGCTGAGCAACGAAGGAGAGATTAAGGAAAACATGTGGAGCTGTTATAGGATCAGTTAAAGGTAATTTTTATTTTAGAGACATGGAAGCAGTGCAAAGAGAGTTTAAAAATTGGAGAATAGCTTTTGTAATGTTACAGAAATAAAAAAGGAAAAAGGAAGCTAATCTGTGGACTAAATAAGGTGGTTAGCTTTGAAGAGAACAAATATTTTTGTCTGAGCCCAGAGGAAAGAATGAAGATGCTTGTATCAAGTGGTCATGAGTTCAAACAAGAGAAAGAACACTGAAGGTTTTAGAAGTGAGAAACCTCCTGAAGGCTAAGGTAGACAACACCTTGCTGACTAGATCAGTGAAGGACAGAATGATTTTCTTATGGGACAACTGTCACAACTTTTCCACTGCGCTGTACTCAGGTTTGGTGGAAGTAGCTAAGAGTAGAGATGACATCAACATCCAAGTCTGATTTTCTTTCTATATAATAGATACTTCTCTAGTCCAAGGAGATTGTAAGGTCCCCATGGATGGTGTCTTGTATTTCATACACACTGCACATCCCACCTGAGCAAGAGTTGGATTCTGTGTCATCATTTGCCCATGTTCGATCTATGCAGACAGCTGAAATGTAAAGCATAACCAGCTGTCATTGGCTCCTTCCCTTCACCGAAGAAAAGACATTCCCCAGAGGCAGTAAGCATCTCAAGTTAGATCCCTTATAAATATTTAATGTAACAATCGAAAACTTCCTCGAAGTTTTATGTGGGACTCGGGTTAAGAAGTTCTCGAAGAATCCAAAGCAGAGCTGTGCTCCCATTTCAAGTTAAACATGCTGTGGTCTTTTCACCAGCTCTTCGTTCTGGCCACGATACTCGTGCCTAGAAGTTGCTGTGACAGGCAGGAGGGAGGGAATCGTGTGGATCATTCACATGGAGACTCAAGAGCATGTGCATGTCTCTTTGCAGGACCACGAAACCTCCTTCCCCAGGGCGCTCTCAGCTCAGAGGCTGTCCCCCCGCTGGTGCTTCCTAGATGGTGAGTGGCCCTGTACTTCCCTGGGTGGGAAGGGTGAGATGTGGATCAATGGAGGGGCTCTAGGATTCCCAAAGCCATCCTGTGGTACCCCCTGATCAGAATTTGCATCTCAAATCCTACAGACTTGCTGATGCTGCCAGTTACCTTCCCTGAAGTCCTTTCCCTGGAAGCACATTGGTTAAGTCTGCCTGAACTAAGTTCAAACTGCTCACGCTGACATTTTCCTTTTATCATTTCCTCTTCCCTCAATCTGTCAAGTGCCAGTAGAGAGAGTCTATAAGCGCAGATGGGTACTAATTCCTATGTGATTTGCATATCATGGACCTTTTCTTTTTGGTGAGGCTGTCATTTCTGTATAATATATAAATTTTTGTAAAAAAAGGATAAAAATTTCAACTGCATTCAGATCTGCTCTGCAGAACATGACATATTGCATGCATAATGAGTTCTTTATTTTATGATTTTGCTTAATGCGTCCATTTGCCATCCCAGGCATCTCTTCACTCCCCTGGCTGCTGCATGCTCCTGGGCGTCTGTCTAATTACTGGATCCATGGTGAAGCACATCCTCATCCCTGTGCATTCTTGCCCATATACCACCTAGGGTCTCTACCATACCCGAGCTGTGGGTTCTCTGTGTGGGGACATTGTTTACATAGTTTGCACTGTTTAGTGTGTGGGGGGTGTGTGGCTGAGAGGGGACATATGTGTGGATGTATGACAGCATGTGTGAGTTCACATGGTTATGAAGATCTATCTATACACACACACACACACACACACACACACATATATATATGGCTTGTTATATATAAAATATTTTATATCCTACAAAAATCAGGCTATAAGGGCTTTTATTTTCATTTCATGTATTTGGTACAGGGTCTCACTATGCAGCTCGGACTCATAGCGACCCTCCTGTTTTCAACCCCTCCAGTGCTGGGAATACAGGCATGCGCCACTGTGCCTGGACTTGGTCGCCAGCTCAGCACACCCTGGAGTGGGGCTAGGGATCAAACCCTGCTCCCTGTGCTTACCAAAGCCGAGGCTTAGTCTGCTGAGCTATCTTGCCAGCCTTCAGGATATAAGTTTTGATTCATGGCTCAACAACTGTTTCTGAAGATTTCCTTCCTCTCTAGCAAAGATCACAATGATTTACATTTCTGGATGCACAGAGGAATAGCTTCCATATAAGAAAATTAAGAAAATGTCTGCATAAGCTACTATGCTCTAGAGGTAGCCTTGGATAAAGCTGCCAGTGTGGCTAGAGGTGCTCAGGATGTTCTCATTGGTTTCTACATTCTGAGACACACTGCAGACACCCTCAAGTAGAAAGAGAAGCAGTTTATTTTGAGTCACACTTTAGAAGTGTCAGTGCTCACACGGTCAGCAGGTTCCAAGGCTGGATGGCATGGAGCAGGCATCCACAGTCTAGGAGCAGAAGAACCCTTCCAAGCCACACCCCCAGCGACCCACCTCTTCCTACTGCCCCCACCGCTTAACTCCAGCCATCACGCACTCATAAATCTAAACGTAAACCATGACAAGCCAGATATTACTCTACAAAGGACTTCGTTGAATACCGTCATGGTTGAGAAGAATAGAGCATGGTAATCCCTTAGGGGGCGGATTTTTAGTCTTACATTTTATTTTTATTCATTTTTTAGTTTTTTGTATCTTAGGGAAGGGTGTTCAGGGTTTCACCACTAGGTCAGACTCCTAGTGATCCGCCTGTTTACAGCCTCCCAAGAACTGGGATTACAGACGCATGCCATCACACCCAATCTTAATTGCTGTCTCAGAGTGCCGCGCGGAGCAGGGCTGGCATGACAGGCCTGGGGATCGAACCCCTGGCCCTTACACTTGCTTGCAGGAGCTTTAATCTGCTGAGCTATTTGCCCAGCCCTCTATTTTTTTTTTTATGAGAATGGTTAAATGATATTATTATTACTTTGAATTCCCTAGACACGCATCTAAGGGTGCTGTGTGAAAGTGAAATGACCCTTAAGTCCAGATTCAGCCCCTGGCCTGCATCTTCAAGCTGTTTTCCAAAAATGAAAAAATTACTTCCCTGGAAGTCTGTTTAACTTCAGATTTTCTTTCCCTATCTTTTTTAACTTAATAAAACGAGTGCCAGTGCTGTTTAGTTCCTGCAGATTCCTGGTGCTTTAAAATAAACAGTCCTTTAAAGAGTCGTGCTTTAATGAATGTCTTCTAAAGAATCAGGTCTCTCAGTTTCCTGTGAAGATAGTCTCTGTAAGAAGTTTAAACAAAACATAGAATTGCATCGTTAGGAGCAATGCATTATGGGATAGGGGTTAGCATAGAAGTGGAAGAATTTGAGGCAGTTCTTAAAAACCAAGTAATATCTCAATAGAAAATCTGATGGGCTTTCTACCTATCGCGATTGCAGCATCAGAGATGGCGTTGCTCTCAGTAGATTTAGGCCTCCTAGTATGAGTAGAACATGTGAGTTTCATTGGCGCAGTGAAGGGGAGAGCGGTATCTCGGTGACGGAGCAGATGACTCTAAACGCCACGTGCTTTCTCTTTTCTTGTTTTCTTAGCGACTTCTGCAGACCGCTTTTATCGAATAGACAGATCTCAGGTAAGTTTTCTTCAGCCTGCTCATGAAGGCGAAAAATTCTCGGGTCATATTACTGTAATAATAGCTAACCTCAAATATTTCTCTGGCACCAGCACTTACGCGTTGTGGAATGGCACGCGTAATTCAAGCCAGGATCCTCTCTGTCATCGTGTGTTTTACTGTTCATGGACTCATTGGCAGGGCTTGACCTTGCAAATCACTACCGATAATAACTTGCCTTGTAAACGTCATCACTAGGCTGCTCTTCAGGTGTTTTAATTCAGCCGCCCCAAATTTCACACCTTTTGAGCTCGTTTCCAGGTAGCTAGTTTGAGACCCTAGGTCTTTGCGTAGGCTATTTTGTTTCCATTCACCAACCCTACCCTTCATTAATGAGGAGCAGCATGCTTTTGCTCAAGGTTAACAAGTTGTCCCACTGTACGAGTTCCTCTGGAATAAAGTGTAAAATTCAGTATTAAACCCAATGATAAAATCAATAGTTCCCCAAGCCATTGAGCTTCGAGCACAATCTTAGGGTGAAGGTCCACGCTGCCATAGACTCACGCTGGACCTAGTGGCATGTGAGTTGTCTCCTCTTCTTCTGCTTTTTGCCTCTGGTGTTTTACATTTAAACCAAGTGCCTCACACTGAGCTGTATTTCCAACCCTTGGTTTTTATTATAAGACAGTCTCCTTATATCACTAAGCTGCCCCTGCTGGGCTCAAACATGTGATCCTCCTGTCTCAACTTCCCAAAGTGCTAGGGTTACCGGAAGGAAGGTGCCTTCCCTCCTGGCTAGGAGTCACTTCTTTGGTGGTATTTGATAAGAAGAAGAGGTGAGGCCATTTTTAGGTACACCTGTCAAGAGTCCAGTCAGGTGGAAATCCTGAACAAGGCATCCAACTCTCCCCATGGCCCTGTAGTGTTGTTTCAGGGAGAGACATCAACTCCTCAGGCTTCAAAGCACACACTTTGACCTTGTGACAGAAAACGTCTCAGTACCTCAAGACCCAGAATGCTCTGCTTCTTCACACTTTGGATGATGGATCTGAGTGTCCTGTCAGTCATCTGACAGACTCACTTTTCTTCCTCAGGAACATTTGCACTTTGTGATGGAGATTTCCCAAGATGAGATTTTTATCCTCGACCCCGATATGGTGGTGTCTCAGCAGGCAGGGACACCTCCAGGCATGCCTGACCTGGTGGTGGAGCAGGCTTCAGGGTGAGTGTACATCCCTTTGGTCAATCCTGCCAACAGGTTGGCCACAGGTGACCTCCACATCTGCTTTGGCTTTGGACTTGACATTCTAATGGCTGCTAAATGTTGTGTAGTATGGATTTTTGTGTGTCTCCTTCCACTGAGGTACAGCTGGACCTGTTGCTAGGTGACTCATGAGTGGATGTGTGTTTAAGAAAGCTTATTCCCAATCAGAATGATGTCACATCAGAGATTATTTTACCCCGTGCATCAATACTTCCTACCAATCCAAAGAACATAGGTGTCTGCTTTTGCACATGTGTTTATTTTATTTTGTCTGTTACCCAAATAGAACTTTGACACCAGTGATTTGACAGTTACTTTTCTCTTTTTCCTCTCTTCTTCAGTGTTTCAGACTGCCTGAAATTCACAGATTTATAGTAATAGCTATGCCATACAAAGCTCTTATTAAAAGCCATGCATAGGCTGATCTTGTTTTCCTTTCACCCTTCATAATGACTTAATTATTCTAAGTGCTCTGGGCTTTTTTATTTTCCTCAACTGTGAAATGCAATGATAATAATGATGCCTATTCAGAGAATTGTTAGAAGAGTAAAGAATTGTTGTAGGGAAAACACCTAAAATACTTCCTGGCACTTGGTGGACACCTGAACATTATGTTATTAAAATCACTTTCATTGTGAGCTCACAATGACCTTGAAATTTTTTTTTTCTGTTTGCTTCATTTTATGATTACTGTTTTTTTGAGACAGGATCTTGCTATGCAATTCAGGCTGGCCTTGAATTCACTTTTTAGCCAAGACTGGTCTCAAACTTCTGGCGATCCTCTTGCATCAGCCTCCTGAGTGCTGCGATTACAGGCCTGAGTCACCAGTCAAAGTTTTATTTGGGTGACAGACAAATTTTTCTGGGAAAAAAATTAGTTCTACAGTTATCTTAAATGCACCGTTAAGAAAATTGAGACTTCACATGTTATATCACTTGCCTAACATTGCCCAAAAACTAAATGAAAAATGAGATTCTAGACCCCAGAGCCCATGAATTTAACCACCACCCTGCATCACCAAAATATCATTAACATTTGTAGGCTCTTTCAGAATTGCTCAACAATTCAAAAAATATTTGGAGGGTTTTGTCTATTGGAAAAACAATAGTGGAAAAATACAGACAGACAAAAATATCTGCCTTGGTGAATTTCAGAGGCTTTCCTGGTAGAGCAAGGTGGAGTAGCAATGAGAAGCAAGAACTACCCCCAGAAAGCACCCACAGGCACCCACATGGCACTCAGGAATCACGGGCACATGTAGGGCAAGTGGTGCAATCACCCAAGGTAGCCCTTCTCGCTGTCTGCCCCTGCACTTCATTCCCTTCCCAGTGCTTTGCCCATTGCTTCTATTTCTGAGGCTTTCCCACTCCCCCCAGGCCACCTGGCATCCAGGGTATGAGCTGAGCTGAACAGATGGGGCAGGCAGCTGGCAGAAGTGGTAGGGTGGGCCTGGTACGGCACTGCATTTGGAAGCCAGTGCCAGTGACCTTAGAGTTGTGTGGTGTGAGGGAAGGGCTGGCAGGCACACGTGGTGGCCAAGAGCACCTGGAGGTCCCGAAGTCCATCTTCACGGCCTTCAGCTCTGCCTCAGACTTTTGAACTGTGGGAAGGCAGGTGCAGTGCTGCATCCTGCTCCAGAAGTGAGCGGTGCTGGTGTCCAGATGTCCACTGGCTCCCAAACTGGGCTTTCACCCTGAATCTGGTGAAGAATGAAGCCATCACCAGGCTCCACACTCTCATTCTTTCCATTACAAAATGATGAAACAAAGGCACAACTTTGTCCTTGGTTTGACCTCTGCTAGCTCAGCTCAGCTCCCAATGTAAGGTAGCCTGGAGAGGCCCTGCGGTGTGGATCCATGCCTTTCCTTTTCCTCATTAGCTGTTCACACTGAACATAAGCTAAGAGCAGGGTAGCATTAAAGCCCTTTTCTACCTATTTCTGTGCTGCAGTCCATTGCTGCGTATTCGTGTTATTCAGTTTCCTTGTGTGTCAAAAAGGCAAAATTGTACAATTAGTTCATGACTGTTGAGAAAATTGCATGCAACAGTAACTATGAAGTAAATCCTCAGTGAAGATGGATTTCCTTCTCACATCCAGAGAAAAGGATCACCATGAGGAAGAACAGGACGCGTCATGTGCTTGCTATGAACACTTAACTGCCTGCGGCCTTCCTTCCTCCAGGCTGTCAGACTGGTGGACTCCGGCCCTGAGGAAGCGCATGCTGAGTGACAGTGGCCTGGGAATGATAACTCCCCACTATGATGACGCAGATATGAAAGACCTCAGCCACTCCCGTGTGCTGCAGTGAGTCTTGCTATCTTACCTCGTGCCCCTGGGATTGCCAGGGGAGGATTTCTCCCCCAGCCTGTTCACTGATAGGACAGACTCTCTCCAGGGTCATCGAGCTGTCTCACATCTGTGTCATCCTGTGGTTTGACATTCTGTGCTCCTTCCTCACTTTTATCTGCCCCAGGCTCCCGATGCAACTTCATTGTCCCCTGAGATACCTTGGAGACTTTTCACATGGTTCTAGAAATAGTGTATACTTCACCAGTGCTATTTTTTTTTCACTGAAGTCCCATATTTATTCTGTGTCCTTGCTGGCTATATCATGAAGACACGCATGAGAGTAATTATGAAAGTTTCGGAAGTGACAGGTTTCCACTTGTGTGAGCATTTTGCTTTGCTAGTTCCCTTGTCCCTGGTCCAGAGCGTGTGCATAGGCATCTGTGGAATAGTACCAAATAGCTTTTTGGTCATAGTACAGTCTGCTTGCGTGTGGTTGTCATCTCTGAGAGGAAACAAATGGAGAGTTTGTTCATAGATCAGCCGAAGGGGATATTGTCCTCCCAGGTCTGGTCCCAGATGGAAAGTAGGATGCAGGGGTGACTTGCCCCTTGTTTGCCTTGAATCCCTGTCTGCCATCCCCCATCACAAGAGCTGGCTCTACAATGCAGTCAGGGGTCGCAGATATCCTCCTTCTCCCCTTTGTGGTATTAGCCATGACCCCATCACAGAAGTTACCTATAGCTGCTGCCCTTCCAGGCTGGTTTTCAGTCTACCAGAGGTCACAGTGACATAGTGGCAGTGGCCTGGACACACACAGTCTTGCCTTTTGTCAGAGTAGCGAGATAACTGAAATGCTCAGAAGCCCAGGGTGAACTGAAGAAGCAAGACAGCAGCGGGCTGTCTCTGAAGGGTGACAGGAAGCAATTTGGTAGAACAAAGGGGAGAAGAATGAGGAATCAGGAGCTAATTATTTCATTGGGGGAGGTTGTGCTCAGACAGTTGGAGGGCAAAAGGAGACTTCATTTTAATTACTTCTCTATGTTACCTCTTATTTTCTCATGTGAAGAGGAGAGGAAGAGGAAAAAAAAAGAATTACGGTGGATTTTCTTTTTTAATTAAACTGTGTTAGTTTCTTGTGGCATTTTGATTGCTCACAATTCAGAGTGTTTTTCCATTTTCCTTTTCTACAGAACTAGGGCTTGTAAATCAGATGAGTCAGCCACCCGTGAATGCTAAAAAAGTGGTCATCTCTCTGTGGGCAGACTTATTGGAAAATTAGAGTTTTAATTAGCTGCAGAAATAGAAATTAAGCCTACTCAGACCAGCTGAGTGGTTTAGTATACAGGCAATTTTCACAAAGTGGAATATTAGCTCAATTCAGTGTTCTAAGCCCCTATTTCTTCTGTAGGTTACATATTGGTGCATATCATGATACATAAAGTGATCGTTTGAAGGTTGTATTTGCCCCCAAGAATCACAAATAAACGTACCGCTATATATAACAGCTAAGTTCTTAAAATTCAGGGCCTGAGGCAACTCTTACTTGTGGTGCTATCATTCCGTAGTATCTGTGGGGGCTGTGACTTCACACCCCATTCCAGATACCACACTCTGTGGCTGCTGAGATTCCTCATGTAAAATGGTGCGGTATTCGTACGGGTTATTTCTACTACCTATGTCAATGAAATGCTGTATACACTTAGTGTACTGCATTGTTTAGGGAATGCTGACACAAGTGTCTGCCTCTGTTCAGTACAGAAGCAGTTTTTAAAGGGTTGGCCAGATAACTCAGCAGACTAAATTGCCTGCTTAGGCAGGTGAAGTGACCAGGGTTCGAGCCCAGCATGCCCTGCCAGCCCCGCCCCTGGGGTGAGCTAAGATGGCGATTGAGACTGGACGGGGCGGCACATGCCTGTCATCCCAGCCCTTGGGAGGCTGAAAACAGGAGGATCACTATGAGTCCGATATGTGTCGTGAGACCCTGTATATCTTGTACTAAATACATTAAAAAAAAAAACCAACAACAGTTTTTAAGATTATCGTTGAGCTTCACTTGGCTGAGTCTGTGGATCAGTCTCTGGATGTGGAGAGCCCACTGTGATCTTTTAGGGATTCCTCCTAATTTTAGTTGATCTACAGTTGGAAGCTATCAGTTTCCCCAGCCACAATACTCTAAAATACTTTACTCTTGATCCACCCCTCCCCCCAATCTTTAAGTCTCCCAGCTGGACCTCAGACAGTTGAGACCAGAGACAAGTCATCTGTGCTGCGATCTGATTCCCTGAAGAGCCCTGCACAGGGAAAGGATTGTTTTAAGTCACTTGAGCAATAAGCAAAAGGGGCTGGGGAGATAGCTCAGTGGTCCAAGCGCCTGCCTGGCAAGCACAAGGGTTCGGGTTCCAATCCCGGTACCCCAATCCATGCCGGCCCCAGAACCAGAACCCTGGGAGTGCCAAGTAGGCCACTAAAGCCGGGCGTGGCAGCGCACACCTGTAATCCCTGTGTGGGGGAAGCTGAGACAAGAGTGTGACTATAAGTCTGAGCTGTGTAGCAAGACCCTGTACTAAATAAATCGTTTAAAAACAAACAAAACAAGGGATGGCTAGACAGTTTAGCATACTAAAGTGCCTGCTTAGGCAGAATGCAGCGGCTGGGTTCGATCTTCGGTCCTTCAGTGCCGGCACCACCCCCGGAGTGTGCTGAAATGGCACTTGAGACTGGTCATGGTGGGGCACACCTGTAATCCCAGCTCTTGGGCAGCTGCAAACAGGTGAATCACTACAAGTCGGGTCTACACAGTGAGTCCCTGAACACCTTATAGACCTTGTACCAAAGGGGGGAAAAAAAAAAAAGCCAAAACTAAATTGAATACCTTAGGGTCAATTATCATCATTATTATTAATTATTACTATTATTACTTCCTTAATGCCTGAAGAGCTGCATCTTTTTATTGCATCCAGAGGTTCTGCCTGGTACTAATAGGTATAAATGGAGTTATGGACCTACCAAGTAATGTTTAAGAATAGCTACTATAGGAGGAACCCTTCCTTTTTTTTTTTTTTTAACATAATGAATTATCTTTAGTTCTTTCAACAGCTTTTAAGGTTAACCTTTCCTTAACAGAAAAGTAAACTGAGGCTCACGGGGGGGGAACTATTTAATTAGATGACAGGACAGAGGTGAGACAGGAACTGAGGGCAGCTTCACTTATGGCTTTATCCTTTGTCACTATTTTGTACTGTCTTCCCACAGGGACCACACCACGTCAGTGTGACCCCGATTGCAAGGGCCCCTGAAAGATTTACCTGGGTTTGTTTCCTTTTGACACTTGCATTGTGCAACTTTGGATAACAGGGAGGTACTACTGCATATGCCCATTAACTATCCAACTATGAACCTGCACGAACGCTAGTTGAGCGCTAACCTTAAAGCAGTTGTTTTAGTTCTGAAAAGATATTGAAGAAAAGACATTGGAACACAAGCATCTGTTAGACTTCTATTTTAAAAGTATTAAGTAGAATTAAATATGTCCTAATCTAAATAAGTACGGAAGGAAGTTATACAGAGTCACTTATATACCAACCACAGTGATTTATGATGTTACTATTTGACTAGACTTTGATTGTCTTTCTTTCAAACATAGAAAATACAGAGTAGTATAAAAATATATAATATTGTTTTATGATTTACTCTGTCTTTTTATCATTACTTGAATCACTCTCTCTCTCTCTCTCTCTCTCTATATATATATATATATATATATGAAATTTTCATTTCATTCAGTGTCATATTTCTTAAAAATCATTCATAATAATCTATGCAGGCTTTAAATAATTTTATTGGGTACTGAGGTTTATCCAGGAGAAATATTTATAAATGAGCACATGAAATGGCTGTGGTGATCCTAGCTTGTCGTCACAGTGCTGTCTGTGATTGGAACACTGAGGCAGAAAAGTCACCACTTGTTTGAGGCCTTCTGGGGCTATATAGTGAGTTCAAAGTCAATCTGACTTACATAGATAAACCATGCCTAGACTGGGCATGGTGGCACGCACCTGTAATCCCAGCACTTGGGAGGCTGTAAACAGGAGGATCACTATGGGCCAGATCTGTGTAGTGAGACCCTGTAGACTCTGTCCTAAATACATAAAAAAAGAAACCCTGTCTGAAAGAAAGTTAAGAAAAATAAGAATCAATACATGAAAAGAACCTGAAGAATTATTGTAACTCAATGGGCATTTGTGGCTGGCAGCTTTAATGCATCAATGAACTCTGGGATAAGAATGGTTCAATTTCAATATCTTATTGGCAATATTAATTAATCCACTAAGAAAAAATCAAAAGGGAATCTTTAAAAAATTTAGAAATGAAAACATTACTGGAGTTTTCATAATATGGCTAAAATATCATGAATAAAATGATTTATGAGTGAAAAGTCATCATCTGGGAAAAACTATTGTATACAAATAAGTAAGACATTCAGTATGATAGAAGACTCTCAAAGAATAAAGGCATGAGGGAAAACAATGAAGAGTGGAATCAATGTCAAGGAGGAAAGCAAAATAAATAACCAGGAATTTTTTAATAAAGTTGATTCTTTTGGAAGATAAATAAAGGAGGTAAAATTCCAAGACTTATTTTTTTCAACATGGTATAGAAAACAGAAAGGAAGATATTCAAGGATTTCACTGGGTCGCTCTTCTTTCAGGGAGCAGAAGGCATGTTGAAGTCCTCTGCCATCCAAGTGCTAACAAACCCGATGGCCTCGGGTCTCCTGGGCCTTCTCCTAGTTTTAGCAGTTGGTTTCTTAAATGCACCCAACCCCCTCCTTCAGGAAGAGTGAAAAAGAATGAACCAACAGGGCAAATAATATGAATGAGCTATATTTCTGTTATCACTGTACTAATTGTGTTTCTATTGTCTCTATTTAGGACCAATATAATTTTAAAGGACATAGGTACAAATAGGTACATGGCCAGTAGTGTATGGGTCCTCCAGGAGGACTGTGATCTAAG